TGCTATTGGCGGCGGAGGGTGGTGATTCTAGCATGCCGATGGAGCTAAGCTTGGTTTTGGGAAAAGCACGTGAGTTCATCAACATGGAGAGTGCTTTCTTGTAGGAACAAACTATCTTTTCTACTAAGAGCAGCCGCATTTCAGCAGATGAAGAAGGGCGAAGATGGTTCTGGAGCTGCTTAGCAAGATCTCTCCCTCGTGTTATCTCATTGAAGAGGCTCCTCTGCTCCCAATCCATACTCTGTTCCGTTCAGAATATGCACTACGATTCATGTAACCCAATCATAAAATTCAGCAAAGAGGGCGAATTAAAAGCCACTTTTTGCTGACTGATTCAAAAGCCACAGATGGCCAATGGGAGGTCGGAGAGAATCTTCAACCGATCAATCCACGTTATTTCTCGGTTCTCACTGCTTAGTCTTCGGTTGGTTCCATGCCTTCCCTTTTCTTTTGTGTCCTCTTCCTTCATAATCCAGCATTAATTTTTTAGCTCTCTTTATGTGTTAAAAAGATGAGAGTTGAGAATGACTATTTTTTCTATGGCTCATTCATTATTTAAGTCAAATTCTAAAAATTAATTAAAATATTTTTTTTAGAAAAATTAAAACAATTTCATAATACTTATATCCTTCGTTTTTGTTTTTTAATTTTAAGTTATAAAATAAGAGGTTTTTTTTTTCTTATCTCTTAATTACCTTAATCACATGTTATAGTATATAAACTTAAATTATATTAGTTTTACTAGATAAAATTACTGCTAAACTATTTAAATTATTGTATGTGTAATTGTGTATCTTTCACTCTTAAAAATAACTATGTATTTTTATCCCCATAAAAAATGGTATGACTAATTGAAATAGTTCTTTTAGTCTACAACTGAAGCATTTTTAGGCTGTGTTTGAGATTTTTTTTATCATAATTAAATTAATTTAATTAATATTTTGTATGTTTGAATATTCATATAAAGATATTAACATTTATCAACTAAATTTATAAGAAAATTAAGTATAAAAATAATCGAAATTACATAATTTTAATAAACTAATATAAAAAGAACTAAAACAATCCTATTCTTATTTTAAAAATTATGATATTTTACTTTTTAAACTTTTTTTTACTTGATTTTTTTATAGATATGACGACTAGTAAACATTTTCCCCTCATACTTTACAAAAATAATTATAAGAAAGAAAACACCTAATTTTTGTAATTTCACAACATAAGAAAAGCCATAACTATTCTATAACCCTACACTGCAATCCCAGTTGCTGCCTAAATCCATTACAACTCAAAAATTAAAACATTGATTATACAAGGATGAAAATGACAACTTTGTCATAGATTAGGTTACAAGTTACAACAGACAACATAAGCCTAAGAAAAAAAAAATCTTAAGTATTCTTTTGGGGAAAAAAAAAAATATGAACTACTTAGGGAAAGTAAAATTCTCAACCCCATCATCCATATAATATAAGGACCTTTGGTGCAACGCTTTCCGATCACAACCTTTCTGAATATGCCCCAAAGTCTCTTCGAATGGTGGCTGGAATCAGATATCAGGTCGCAATTTGTAATATTATCTATTAGTTTTCTGTCTTCTTCAAACAGAAAGTAAAATTCTTTTATCAAGATAAGCAATCAAGATTGCCGAATGAGAAACTTGTGTCCAATAGGACTGTGAAATCAAAGTCTCCGATTGG